GAAATAGTGTTAAATTATTTTGTACTTTTTTTGTACATTTTTTAAATAGTTTTGAAATATGAAATCGATAAATCCATATTAGACGAAAAATCTTACTGAACCCCTAAAGATTGAGGGATTTCAAAACTACTATTTTCATCTTTTCTAGTTGAAAAAAAACACAAGTAGATAGAAGTGTTTGTCCACTATCAAAAAACGAAAATAATATTAACCTCTCTTTGCTTCACCACTTTATTAGCTTTATACACAAGTATGAGTATAAGTATACAGAAAGCAAGAGAGTGAGTCAATTATGTGGCACCCGAACGAGTCGCCTCAAATGTAGTTTTGAGTGTATTTTTCACATTTGCTTCACCACTTTTGCCAGATACTTCTTACTATGTATCATAAAATTTCTTAGCATAGAATTAAAGCTAATCTGGTGATTGCTTCACGAATGAGTTACCATGTTTCCTTAAGCTAATCTAGTGATTGCTTCAGGAACGAGTTACCCTAGAAATCTAACGATAGTTTGTGTTTATTTTATATGTTTAAATGTAGTAATTCGATTTGTTTTGTATTCTTTCTATACGCTTGAATGTACTAATTCGATTTTGGTTTTGTTTTATGTAGACAACTAAAAGAGACGAGGGAGAGTCGAATTATCTCAAAGAAAGTGTTGCAGAGTAGAAAACTTCCAGAGAAATTTTAAATTTCAGTTTCTCTTGATCTTAATCCTTACTTCAAGAACACAGTTCTGTATAAAATTTAACACGAACATTTGTCTCATAAGTCAAAAGTTTTTTCAAGACTTTTAACATCTTATTACTGGGTTTGGTGCATGCAGTCTTTGGAGTTATGGTTCTCTATCTTTTGTAAGTTAAATCAAATCTAAATGTTTGGTTTATATAATAATACAAATTAGATTAATTAACAAAAATAAATGTTTAGGTATGCATCATTAGAAGAAATAGATAGTCCAACAATGTTAAATGTCAACAATGGCTTACATATTGGATTATATAGTCCTTTGTGACAATTTCAAATTATCCGTTTGAAGAATCCTTGCCTGGTAACACTTCCATTAAATTATTGTTATATTTTTGCAATTTTGAGGTTACCATTTTGGCCATGCTTAAAGCTTTTGTTCTGTATGTGGTTGGTGTTACCAATGTTTAGTGGTGCAGCTTACAATTACTTCATTTATGTGAGAAAATAGGTTAAAATGGGAATGCATGTTGGAGGAGGAACGAATTATACAGATTAACAGAGAATTTTTTTACAAATGATGAGTCTTGATGATAGAAAATCGGTTCAGTATTATTTAAACCGATTTGGATGGGATTCGGTTGATAAAACGGTATAGTATATCTTTTGGTGATCTTTTATGTAAATCCAATA